CGGAACCACTCCAATGCAATCCCAGCCACTCCTGCTAGTTCAAGCATTCGGTTCAGCATCACCTCATGACCACCACGAAAGCAGCTGAGGCTCTAATACAATCATCATGGAAAGGTGTCCCAAATCCTTCATTCGAGGAAGAGCCTTCATACACACCAACGCTGTCTCCAAGCCATGCCGGGGTCTGAAACCAGACTGGAAAATATTATATATGTGTATATATAGTAAAACTCCCACAAACCACTCCTACTATGTCATATTTATTTACAGCCACTGAATCCAACTCTATATATATATATATTGCCTTTTCAGGGTGGAGATAAGAACACTCAAGGAAAAGTCCTTTTAGTAAAAGGGACGCAGTAAAGCCAGGAAGACCTGGTGCTGCCTGGTAAGGCGGTTGAGGCGATCCCAAATGGAACATACTTTGTCCTGAAGGGAAGAAAGAAAACACAATGTAGGTTTCCAAGCCTGATCTTCTAAACTCATTAAACAGGATCAAACTATGCTTATATAATTCCAAGGAGTCTTAGTTGTCCTAGGTAACAGCAATGGCAGATTTAATTCTTGAGGCATCATTTGATTTTACTAAGCATCTCTCGACTTGTCTGGAATTTTACTGTGTGGGCAACTCTTTCCTGATCCTAGCCACCACGGCCTCAACTGCATTTCTAGACTCTCCACTATGAATACCTCTAGACTTATCATGGGCACATGCTGAACAACAACTTCGAAAGTATAAATGATCGAGAGCCATACCAAGAGCTATTACTCCTTAAAAAGTAAAAAGGATTGAAACTAAAAGAAATCAGTTTGTTTTCTCCTTACTGAATAGGTTTCTCAAAAACAATATGAAAGACACTGTAAGGATTAGCCAGAGAGTTGCCTATTCATATTTTCTTAGGTCTGTTGTTGAAAGACTGAAGACTAGCTCTTTTCAGCATGTCCTTTAATCTAAAATTATGCAACATTGACAACTACCTATAACTCTCAGTACCACCACAAACTTTCCCGTTCTGAGTATATATATATATGTATGTATGTATGTATGTATATGTATATATATATATATATATATATTCAGAATGAAATTAAATGACTTAGACCACCACAGCTTCATTGTCTATGTAATTACCCTAAAATTATTTTTTTACATAAAGCAAGCTGTGATGTACAAACTCTGTTACATTCAATTTCATTTAAAGCTAATAGGATCCTGCCTTCCTATCTCCTCTTTACTTCCTCTACTGACCAGGCTCATTTCATTCCTGTCAGTAGCATTCAGTTAAATTAAAATGAAAGAATTTTAAAATGACCATCTGCTATATTACCTCTGCTGCCTACCTTGTATACTTTCCCTCACAATTCAATTATTCTGTAGATGTCAAATATCTAGAGATCTTTCCGACAGATCTGGACCTGAGAATTCTACCAAATATAGTAGTCATTATGTTTGTCTGCATGATCTTCACAAACTCAATCTCATGTCACAGAAAGTGACATGTCTTTCACTAAGACTCATGTGAAGAATGACTCTTGTTGGTGGAAAAAAATAACATTGTTAAATTCAGAGGGATATTAAACTAAAAGGAAAATGTGGTCATGGCATAGTTCAAATTTACAGTCAAGTTGGAACTTAGCATTGTGCCATTCATATTGGAAATCCTTATATCTGATATATAACTGATCCCTGACTGCACAACCCAAGGTTGTGACCACAAAAACATTCAAAGAATAAATCTTGTGAAGCCATCCTAGCAATAGGTGTCTTCATCAAATGGACGTCTGCTGTGATGTGTACTATGATCTGGGAGCTGCACGGAAAACACAAATATGAAGAAGGTGTGTATGCAACTTTCTAGGAATTTATCTGGGCTTAGAAACCGTGTAAATGAAAAAAAGACACTTCAAAGGCTTCCCATGGGACAGAAGGAAGTATATTAACTTCGGCCAATTCACAGTGTAAAAATTTATCCAGGGAAGCTGACAACCTAGACCTTCACTGACAAACAGGAGTTATGGTGATAGTGACCATAATGATTAGCCAAAGAGTTAGGATCTATGCAACTTACCAGAACTTTCAAAAGCACTACTCCTAACTAAAATATATTCATATATTCTATGTGCTCTACTCAGTTGAATGGGCAGTACATCTATTTCAGTATCAAGGAAAACTCTTAATGCATTGTGAACATTCAATAAAAATTAAAATGTGAGACGCAATGGTGGAACACAAATAACTGCATAGATTTACCAAAGAAGTATTTCCTACACATAGAGAGGCAGACTTCTACCTTAAGATGGTATTCTTGATCTCTCTTTAAATCTATCTCCCAAACTTTCATTTTATGTGCTTAAAGCTTCATGATCAAATTTCAAACAAAACTTGGATGACTCTAAGAATCTGATTAAATGAGGAAGAATGCACTTGCCACTGTACTGCACATCAGGAAAACCCTTCCAGAATACAAAACACTTCACTTCTATTCCATGAAGAAACAATTGTTTCAAATATTGTCAAGGATTCTTAATTAAGAACACAAACTAACTATGATCTCCTCTTGAATTTCTGATAAAATTTTATGGAAAATAAGAAGAAACTATCATGTATTTCATTTTGAAATTTCAAGCATTTAAAGCCAGTGTGCCAAAATGCTACTGTATATTATTTCAGAATACAAGTTGCAAGCCATTCCATCATGATTAACTGTTTCCAAGTTACAAACAAAGCAGCCAACAGTGAAATTTTCTGTACCAAATGTCTTAAACTTGGCAGCACATTTTGCAAGGTTTTCCAAATTACATTATCTTTGTAACAACCTCATGATGCAAATAAAGTTGGATTTAACCAATTTTAGTGGAAAGACAAGAGAAAAAGACTGAGTGAGTTATCTAGGATAACACATTATGTATAAAGCAGAAATAGAGCTAGAATTTGCATTTCCATTCAGTCAATCAGAAAATTTCATCAGCTTATTATATGAAGGGAGCCACAGGAGAAAGGAAAATCAATGAGACATAAATTCTTCCATCAATGAAATGGCAGTCCTATTACAACATGGGAAATTTAAGAACTTATTAGACACCACAGCAAAGGAACACACACATCACATTAGCATGAAATAGCAAGGATAAAATGATGAATGGAGGCTAAGGCTAAGAAGGAAAACATCACATTTGAATTAGGCCTTGAAGGTAGACATGGAAAGGGTTCTCACAAGCTAAGTAGAGTCTGATAGACCTGAAATACGTGGGAAGTGATTTTTAGATGTAAAAATGTTGATACATGTCTAACATAAATCAAGCACAAGAGTGAAAAATAGGATATGAGGGAGGCTGACACTATTTCCACATTGGGGCCCTTCCTTAAGATTCCCTCCTGTCTCCATTTCTATCTGGGAACACGCCTATCTCCTTTAGGAGTATGCCAAAATATATCCCCCAGCTTCCCTCTTAAGGCAATACAAGTGTGTCTCTGGCTAATGGGGCACAGGGACAACAGATACCTATTTTTAGCACATGCATTTAAAGGGATGTCAGGCATGCCCCTTTTCATGTGTGGTTCTCTTAGACTGCAGAGACAGCAAAGCATCATGACGCAAGGACCTGGCTGCATGAGCGTTCTGGAAGAACAGAGCTATCTCCCTCACTGTCCCTTGGATTCCCTCAGAGATGCTAGCCTGAGAAGTGAACTTCAGCATGACCCATTTGTTCTCGTAGCCCCAGTAGCACAGCAAACCCATACATTAGCTTAGAGATTTTAAGTTGAGGTTTAAACAGCAACCAGAAATCATTTGCTTGGTCTCAATTTTCAAAACTCGTGAAAAGTATCTGAAAGTACTGATTACAAATGGTATCATAAAGTCAGAAGCTCACCTGTATATATAACATGCTTGAACTTTTTTTTGGGGGGGGGTTTCTAGACAGAGTTTCTCTGTGGCTTTGGAGCCCATCCTGGAACTGGCTCCATAGACCAGACTGGTACTGAACAGAAATCCACCTACCTCCCCAATGCTGTGATTAAAGGCATGTGCCACCACTGCCTGGTCATGCTTTACATTTTATTTTCAAATTTTAATTTATATTAAATTTTAATTTATATATAATGTAAAGGACAGGATCAATTTTATTTCATAACTGAGGAATTACACAGTATATGATGATTTAGTAATAAGTGAGATTGGATAGCCTTGAATGAAATTGAATTTAACCTTATTTAATCAGATAAATTATATATAATACAAGTGTATATAAGAGTAGTACAGAATATATATGTATATATCCTATACCATGCTGATAATTAAGAATTCACTCATATTCAAATAATTATTGCTACCAGGAAACCTGAGAAAAGATTTGGCTTCAATTCTCATTAGGTAGCAAGTTTCCATTTATATGCTGAATTCTTCATCTCATATTAGAAACACATAATATTTTAATATTATTATGTCTAAATATATAATTGGTCTTCATTAAATTTCTATAGCAATAGGAAAGACTTATAAGTACAAATAAAATAAAACTGTAATTTTTAAGAATATGAATACATAAAAGTCTCAACAGGTCCAGTGGGAAAATATGAGAAAAGGAAAAATATGTGTGTGCAGTAGGACCCTTTGATTTAATTTGTCTGCAGGCAATGTATTGGCCCTTGCCTAATATAGTACATCCTCATATTTCCTTGAAAATTAACCAGGCTAAGGTTAGTCAGAAAAATGGTCTTTTCCATTTGGTAGGCTTGTGAGCCTGGCCAGGTTCAAATGACTCTCTGGATGAGCCCTTTGGCAAGATCTTGAAGGCAAAGAAGAGCCCACAAAACCAGAACCAGAATTTTGGTTACACATATACATTTATACATCTCTTTTATCTTAACTCCTGCCAACCAGTTCACAGGCATGTATGACTGGGGAAGTTCCGTGTATATGTCAATAAAGCACTGTTGGCCAATAGGGAAGCAAGATAGGTGGGACTAGAAGTCTAGGAGGATTCTGGTAAATATAGTGAAGAGACTGGTTGCCATGTGATCTCCCAGGAGGAATGGACACGGCAGAAGTACATCCTCGTAAAGGTAAGTCCTTATAAAATATAAACTAGTAATCAAGTCAGAGCTAGCTGATAAGAAATCGAGCAAACGACCAATAGCTTCATAATTAATATAGTGTCTTGTGTGTTATTTGGGGGCTGAAAGAAGCAACAGGAACCAGGCAGCAGGCAGGAAGACTAAACGTTAGACATGGGCTTCTGGAGGTCAACACAATAAATGCAGGTAAAGGATGATCCATGGAACCCCATCCGTGGAAGACACATTTATTTGACCACAGCTTAAAACAAGACATTCCTCTTTTCTTCCTCAGATGGTCTTACCCTGCGCCTACTATTGAACTTTTGTACAACATCCTCAAATTCCAAACTGATCAGTCTTTTTGAGGTTGAGAGAAAAGACAGATATTCACTCACCAGCTTTGCTAGTAGAGAGAGAGCATGTCCCTTTTACAAGCCCAAGTTTTCTTGTCTTTAGACACAGGAGCCTAAGGCTATATGATCTGTCAAGACTAGAAACAAAACACTATAATTCCAAGTGAAAATCCAGTCACAGCTTAGTTTATCCTAAAGCAGAAGGGGCTTTGAAAAATCTGACTAAAGGGGAATTTATGCTCATATAAATTCTCCAAGTCATTTTCAGGTTGGAAAAGTACTGACCTCAGTAGATGGTCTTCAACAGAAATCAGTCCTGACCTCCTCTCTTTAGCAAGGACAGAACCCCCTCTGGTATTCAGAACCATTCTCTTCTATGTTCTCCAAGCACAGAAACAGCTTCTAAATAAAGGCTAGACACTGCTTGGGTAGGTGAACACAAGGGAAAGGGAAGAGTAGCTTTTACATTTTAGGCACTTATGTGTTTCAGGTTGTTCAGAAAATGTCTTTGAGATTTCTTTCAAAATTCTTCATCCCTTTCATCCAAAAAAAGTATATAGCATAACTAACATTTTATACAAAAAAATTTATAAAATACTGAAAATGGAAACTTACAGACCTATGTGAAAAAAAAGAAAAATGGATACAAGCATGGGAGTCCCTTCCCTTAATGAACTTATAAATGCAGTACTTAAACAAATACTAACTAGAATATTAGAACATCATACATTTATGAAGACTTTGAAAATTCAAAAAATTTACCAAACACAAAAACTTGAGACAGTATGCACTGTAAAGATGTTTCTTTACAAAGAAAACTCACACTGATAACTCTCAAGAACAGACCATAACTTTGCTAACAATTAAAGAATGTAGCAATAGCCAGGAAGTATGAGCAGAACCAACCTTTGTCTTAAAATGTCCTCCAAATTCTCCAGGCATTTCGAATCAACACTGCTTAGATCCTTGATTGAGTCACCTCCTGTGATAATCTCTGTCTTGGGGAATTTCATGTCCCTGATCCCTCTGCTATTCTGTTCTCTCTCTCTAATATCCTTTGTATCTAAATTCTAAACACTGTAGCCACCCACAATGCAGCCTGAAAGCAGATGAGGGGATGATTATTGGCAGCTTGAAGAGCTCTGGAAGCAAGTGTGAAACTTTGGACCCCATCACATGTAGAACAGGCATATATAATATGCATGTATGGATAAATACATGCATTATACACATGTGCGTGTTAATCTCCTGAATTTGAGACAGAACTGTAGACAACATTCATCAATTTGATTTTGCCTAATTATGTAGAGGAAAGTATGATAGCCTTTTTTACCTAAAAGACTAAGACTTATTAGGAATCATTTACTATAGCTTTTAGAAATCGTTGCTCCACAAAAATCTCTTCCTTTTTGTTGCCTGTAAAAACAAATCAATGCTAAAAAGAAGTTCCCATGTCAGCACACCAAGTGTTTTGCATTTGAATTATCCCATCCAGTTCAAAACACTGCAGCAAAACTGAAACTCCTTTTGGCATGTGACAGTTAAGAAAATAGAGCAAAGAAACAAAAGACAAAGACAAAAGCGCCCTGACAAAAGAATTAAATAAGATCTCCCAGGTAAGTGCCATTTACCCATACAGACTTTTACCTGTACAGGATACTTGGAAAGACTCATGCACAGAATAATTTCACATCCATTTCTGGTTCTATTTCTGCACTGAAATATTTATAGGGTATTCAGTATTTCTGGGGAAAATTATACCTAGATCTTGGTAAAGCTGAAATCACTTAAATTACCTTTTTTTTTTTGTTCAATTACTTGGAAGAATGGAGAAAGAAAGCTTGACAGAATAAAAAGATGTATTAAGCAACGGCCATTTCATAGCTATAATTGCACAGCTTAGTGAATATTGATGCCTTCAGGGTTGTAGGCAGTCACCACAGCTATTTTTACCAAAGGCTTCAAATAAAATCCAAATCAATTCATATTATGTGAATATATATATACATATATATATATATATATGTAGTATGCTTGAATATGAAACCTCTTAAGCTGAGTATCTCATTGGTTAGTGTGTTAGGAATAACACAGGAAAACACACATTCACAGTGCACTTGATGGAGACACAGCAATGTGCTTGAGCATGTTGCTATGCATACCTTCTAAAGCAAGCTGGGTAATAAAGTCCCGGAAAACAGTCTTACTTTATCTCAGAGATTTTGAAATATTACAAATTCTGAATCATTGTTACTGATCAAATGTTGCTATCTCTCAGAAATTCATAAGATGAGTCCTTAGATAGACCTCAATGTCACTGCACCTCTATGAGATGACTATGGGTAAAAGGGTGGAGCGCTGATCAGAAATGGTTGGTTGGTACCCTTGTAAGAAGTGCCTGAAGAGTGTGGCTCTCCGTGTGTGTGCGTTCATGAAGAAAGGCCAGATGAAGACCAGCAAAACAGGAAGACAGAGAGGGCTCCAGAAAAGTTCCACCAGACCTCAATTTGTGGCTTGGCAGCAAGAGCAAACTCAGGAACTATGGATGAGACTCTAATCTTGGAACAGGAAAAGCTACCCTGGAAACCTACTGTATCAGCGTAGGGCACTGCCGCTGACCAGTACTGCAGTCCACCAAATAGCAACGATGTGAAAAATGCCAGGAGAACATGTGAGTTGAATAAAAGCACACATATACAACATACATGCATATCCCATACACAGATATATACACACATATACACAGCATACACAAACATACATACATATACACACATCACACATAAACATACACATGAACAATGAACTCATACACATATGCACATAAACATACACATGAACAACACATATTTACATATATGCACATAAACATACATTAAAGCACATATGCACACATGTACCACATATGCATATTCACACACATTCATGAACAAATACTATACACATAGACACATGTACCATATATACACACATCACACACATATACAGATGAACACATGTCATACACATACATACACACATGCACACACAGAACTTTATGAATGTCTTGTGGGCTCTATCTTCCATCATTTATTTATTTATTTTATATATTAATCCCAGTTCCCCCTCCTCAGAGAGGGTAAGGCATTCCATGGGGTGTCAACAAAGTCTGTCCCATCACCACACTGAGGCAGGGCAAAGACCCGACCCCCTGTGTCTAGGCTGAGCAACTTATTTCTCCGTAGGAAATGAACTCCAAAAAGTCAGTTCATGCACTAGGGATAGATCCTGGTCCCACTGCCAGTGGCACCACAAACTTCTCAAGCCATCAACTGTCACCTGCATTCAGGGGGGCCTATGCAGGTTTGGACCTACACAGGTTCCTCAGCTGTCAGTTCAGAGTCAGTGAGTTCCCACTAGCTTGGGTCAGCTGGTTCTGTGGGTTTCCCCATCATGGCCTTGACACCTTTGCTCATATTATCACTCTTCCCCTCCCTCAACTGGACTCCAGGAACTTGGCCCAGTGGTTAGTTGTGGATCTCTGCATCTGCTTCTGTCAGTTACGGGATGAAGGTTCTATGATGGCATTATTGTACTCCTCCATACCAGTTCAGGCACCCTCTTCACTATGGCTTAGAGTTTTATCTGGGGTCATCCTTGAGGGAGGTTTCTACTAAACAGTTCATGTTAGTCTGGATGTCTACCCCTGTTTTCTATATCTAAAGAAACACTGGGGGAAATTTTACAATGAAAGGTAGGCCACCAACTGTGGTCGTGTCATCATATGTCTGCTTTGAGGGCTTACATGTGCCCAAGTCCAGTTTGGGACCTCTGAACTTCCAGAGAAACATTCCACATAGTCACTTATCAACTTGAGAATTGTAACCATGTCTCTTGGCAGTCATTTCAAGAGCAAGTGAGAGGGCTCAGCAGCTAAGGGCACTTGCTGCCAATCGTGATGTCCAGAGTTTGGCTCCTGGGTCCCTCCTGGTATGAAGACAGACCCGACTCCAGAAAGCCACCCTCTCCTCCATTGTGTCATGTGAATCCATACACACACATTCTCTCTTTAAATGAAAAAATATGTAAATAAATACAATAAAAATTTAAGGAATCATTTCAATGATCCTGTCACTCAGGAAAACTTTTAAGTTTAATCTGACAGACTGTAGTCATTTTCAAATAGTGATATTCATATTTAAGCAGAGTACACAATCCACATTATATCATTTAATAGAAAACCAATTCCAGCCAGAAAACAAAAGTGTCAACAAAACATTTAAAATGATATTTTTCGGGGGGAAACACATATATGCATAAACATCCAAAATTCAAGTCTTTACCTACTTATAAAATAGAAAACATGCTTTCTTCTTTTACTTATACGCTTTGTATTAGCAAAATGCTATGGTTTTATCCAAATAACATGTTATTAGTAATAAAGTACTGTCTCTTATTTCATGTAATTTTGACAAAATAAGCTTAGTACTTTTTTACTCATTAACTCACAAACTATCATGGCCCTAGAGCATTTTGCAATATCAGCTAAGAGATGCTTTTATAGGTGACAGCAGATTTTGGAGGGAAAATGGTTTTAAAAAGGGGTGTTTCTGGGATCGGGTGTTCAGAAAGGAAAATGGTACAATAACCTATGTCAAAAATGCGTGTTCAAAT